TTTAACCACAGCTGTCGTCGGTTTTTTTGTCTGGCAGTGGCAGCAGATATGCGATCAAATTTCTAATTTGAGGCTGTATTACGTCGATTCTGGCACCCAACATCACAACAAGATATTTTAAGCTCCTTATGTAGCTGAATCTGCGCGGGTTTGAAAGGGCCGCCTCCAGTTTCCTCTTTGTTTTGCTGCCTCCAGCTAGCACTGTGACGTCGCTGACCCTAGTTACCTGTGGTTGGCCTGGCCGTGCGTCACTCAGAAAACAACAGGCCAATCAGAAGAGAGGCTCATGAATATTAATTAGACAGGCCAAAATCGACCTGTTCTCAGCAGAGCTCCTGAGAAAGGAGCTGTAAAAATATATTGTGATGGTTTTTGGTACTTATACCGCAACTATATTTTCTTAAGGACATCAAAACCTAAAATAAAACTCCAGAAAGGTGTAAAATATGGGACCTTTAAAGGTTAGGAAGGGTTTCTTCATAAGCTAGATAAATAAACTAACAAATAAATAATAACTAATAAATAAAAGGTTTTTCCAAAGAACTAAAATTCTTTGAAATAATCATAAATTGCAATTTTCCACAGCTGGGGTCAGTGGACAAAAATCAAATGGTGTCCTTCTGGATTCTTGACAGCTTTTCAGCTGAGAGTCGAATCTTCCCGAGGAATTGGAGACGACACGGCCGCAAACAACATCAGGTGAACATGTGGCAGTACAAGTCATACTGTTGCTGTTTTGTGAGTCGTTGAGCGTTATCAAGGGGTAAGCAGATAAACATCAAATTTTCATTTTTGGGTGAACTATCCCTTTAATTAAAGAGGACCTATTGTGCTTTTCTCAAACATTGCTGTTTGAGCATGAAGAAGTTATAAAGCACAAAGTCTACTCCAGTTATTCTCTATATCAGTAACTCCCTCGCTGAACACCTTCATTCCAGTCCTAAGTTTTCTTCCAGAAAGGTTTTTTTTTGTGCAAATTACAGTAACGGGCATTACATTTCTGACACACGGTGTTCAGCCAATCACAGCGCACTCAGTCAGCTGGCCAATCAGAGCCCTCTGAGCTTTTCAGAAGGAGGGGCTTTGTAGAAATCAGTGCATTCCAGACCGATTTTGAAAAACAGTAAATGCTTAAAGCAGTATCACTGAATATGTGACCCTGGAGCACAAAAGCAGTCTTAAGTCGCTGGGGTATATTTGTAGCAATAGCCAAAAATACATTGCATGGCTCAAAATTATCGATTTTTCTTTTATGCCAAAAATCATTAGGATATTAAGTAAAGATCATGTTCCATGAATATATTTTGTAAATTTCCTTCCGTAAATATATCAAAACTTAATTTTTGATTAGTAATATGCATTGCTAAGAACTTCATTTGGACAACTTTAAAGGTGATTTTCTCAATATTTAGATTTTTTTTTTTTTTTGCATACATTTTGCACAGATTTTTCTGCATAAATCTCCATTTAAAAAAAATTTACCCTTATGACTGGTTTTGTGGTCCAGGGTCACATATAAGCATGGCAGGTGATCACATGACCAACAGCACAATCGTAAGTGTTCTATAAAGCGTAAATTAATAGGCTGTATATTTCTTCTTGGCCAAAGCAAACCATTCCAAAGCTTCATGTTTATCAAAATACTGCCACATTTTTCAGATTCAATTGCAGTGGAGAGTCTTTGCTGCTGGGTGACGGCACACACAGGGGCGAGTGGGGCGACTGGAGCCCATTGTGTCAGGGAAGAGGGATGTGTGGCATCATGACACGGATAGAAGAGAAGCTGAAATTTGGAGACGACACTGCTCTCAATGACGCGCGCATGTTCTGCTGCGATTAAGGTGATGCGATCGCAATCAAACACTCAGATCGTCACATACTGCAGAGCAACTGAGTTTGGTTTTTCTTTCAGGTTTAAGAGGACCACAACAAAAACAGCAAGAAGACTATGATGAGCTAACATGAACCATACCACAGTTTTGTAAGGGATCATGCACAATCAGCAGCATTATCACAAAATAAAGAACAGGATAATCAAGACCCCCAAAAATGCCAAGTTTGACTGGATTATCCTCATTATGATTTTATTTTTGGGCCAAATATCAGCATTAAAGTTTCTTTCTAAGAAACACCTTGTAGTTTCACATCCTTTAGCACATTGAGTTATAAAGTATAGAATTTTTTATACTTTATAGATTCTTTATAGTAGAAAAAGGTTCATTAGATTGAATTATTCTTCAGACTAATAAATAAATGATTCTTTTAGGAACTGTCCCCCGAAAGGTTTCCAAATGTGGAATCACTGCAAAAAAAAAATTTTAAATAAAAAAAGAGTGTAACATTAAAATGTCTTCATTTAACTTGAGATGGCACTATTGGCAAAATATTACAGTAGCCATAATCCTGAATAGAGATCTGCCAATCAGAAAAATGGAAAATGAGCTATAAGATCCAGTATCATACTGTGTATCACACACACATTTCAATCATATCACCTCCAGTATTCATCTGCATGAGATATTTGTGATCAGATCCAGATGATTGCAGCTTGCGGCTATATTTTTGATGTTATTGTTTTGAAGTTTCATCAGCTGGAAACGGAAGAACTCGAGCTGGGAAGATGAGAGTCATGTGACCTCATTGCTCTCGTATCATGAACTCGAGCTGGTGTTCAGTGTTGATTTCTGCTCACAGTATCTGTTTAATATTAATATTGAGAACTCATCAATCAAAGCTGTTTCAAAGGGCTCATGCTTTTACTGGCAATGAGCAGCATTTGAGCTGATTGTGTTAACATGCAGATCATTGACTTTAATATCCACAATCATTTTAGTTTTGAATAATGTGTCTGATTACTGGATGGAACAATAATAATGATAAACAGATTTTTTTTGTTTTTAGCGAATTGATCCGATATATATGATATATTCTTGTTTTTATGTTTTTGTTTTTTTTCAGAAGACATATTCAGCAGTCAAGAAAATACTTTATGATAGCTATTTAAATTCTCACTGTGCCCATCAGAAGAAAGACAGTCATACAGGTTTGGAACGACACGAGGGAGAATAAATGATGACTGAATTTACATTTTTAGCCAAACTGTTCCTTTAACTCTTGCTTACTTGCAAGCATTGATATTTACATCAGGAAATGTCAGTAAACCTGTAAGCAAATGCCCGGCATTTATTTTATAAATATTTCTGTCTGAATCATTAAAGATATAAAATCAAACAAGCAACTCAGTATTTTAGAGGCATATTACCAAGTAAAACACTTTGTATGGTCACTCACGGTCAAACATAGGCCTGCAGGTATTTTTGTTGGATCAGTGTTTGTATATTTGCAGGTTATTGATGTCTTGGGCCACTGATCAGTTTATATTTACTTTGATAACGTTTTGGAGCGAGGTTCTATTTGCTGTGCTGGTTGGACTTGGATCCAGCTGTTGGTGGAGGGTCAATGTCCAACACTGAGCTCTGTGACGAACCGGCAAACACACACACACACACTCATACACACACTCTCTCACACACACACACACTCTCTCTCACACACACACTCTCTCACACACACACACACTCACTCACACACACACACACACACTCTCACACACACACTCATACACACACTCTCTCACACACACACACACTCTCTCACACACGCACTCTCACACACACACTCTCACACACACACTCATACACACACTCTCTCACACACACACACACTCTCTCACACACGCACTCTCACACACACACTCTCACACACACACTCATACACACACTCTCTCACACACACACACACTCTCTCACACACGCACTCTCACACACACACTCTCACACACACACTCATACACACACTCTCTCACACACACACACACTCTCTCACACACGCACTCTCACACACACACTCTCACACACACACTCATACACACACTCTCTCACACACACACACACTCACTCACACACACACACTCACTCACACAAACACACACACACTCTCTCTCACACACACACTCTCTCACACACGCACTCTCACACACACTCACTCACACACACACACACATCTGTTCCGATCTCCAGCAGGAGACATAAAGACGGCTCTCAAACCATGTACAAGTTGATTTCTCTGACGTTGATTTCACTGCTGGCTGTTTTCGGGCCGTATGTGATCGCAGGAGGACGCTTTGAGCGAACCATCAGCAGACCTTTCAGATCTTTGCTGAGGGTCCATAACGGGATGAGATGGGGCTCGTGGGGTCAGAAGGAAATGTGTCCGACTGGAATGTATGCCACAGGCTTTAGTCTTAAGGTGAGTGACTATCACCAGTATACAGTAGTGTGAAGTTCAGTGGCTCCACATAAAATCAAAACTGACTATTTACTTTCGTAATTCATGTTCCTGATCTTATTATGAATGATTAGTCTGGTTATAAGTGATTATTGTGAAGTTATGTTTTTGCAATCTAAGTCATGCAGACTATAGTTAATGTTAATGTTAACCTATAGTAAATTCTACAGTTGCACACGGTATGATATTATTATAATATGTGACCCTGGAGCACAAAACCAGTCATAAGGGTCAAATTTCTCGAAATTGAGATGTATACATCATCTGAAAGCTGAATAAATAAGCTTTCCATTGATGTATGGTTTGTTAGGATCGGACAATATTTGGTCGAGATACAACTATTTGAAAATCTGGAATCTGAGGGTGCAAAAAATCTAAATATTGAGAAAATCATGTTTAAAGTTGTCCAAATGAAGTTCTTAGCAATGCATATTACTAATCAAAAATTAAGTTTTGATATATTTACGGTAGGAAATTTACAAAATATCTTCATGGAACATGATCTTTACTTAATATTCTAATGATTTTTGGAATCTGAGGGTGCAAAACATCTAAATATTGAGAAAATCATGTTTAAAGTTGTCCAAATGAAGTTCTTAGCAATGCATATTACTAATCAATAATTAAGTTTTGATATATTTACAGTAGGAAATTTACAAAATATTTTAATAGAACACGATCTTTACTTAATATCCTAATGATTTTTGGCATTTAAAAAAAAAGGATAATTTTGACCCATACAATGTATTGTTGGCTATTGCTACAAATATACCTCAGCGACTTAAGACTGCTTTTGTGCTCCAGGCTCACATATGTATTATGGCATGTGTGCGATATGATCAAAATTTTAATCATGGCTCTGATACACAGCATCTAATAGTAATTAGGACAACAAAATATCAGGCCAGATATTTGCACACCAGAAATTTTAGATCTTTTACTCGAAGAAATTTTTTTTTTTAATTTCTTCTTTTTATATTTTGCTACATTTGAACCTTTTTCTTGCCATGAAAATAGCCATCGTAGCTTTATAAAGAAACAAACACCAAAATGTCATAAACTAAAACTAAACACATAGATTTCATAATCCTCAATATCTAAACTTCACGTACAGTATATCCAATACATACAGTATGCTCACATAAACAATATATCAAAACCCAACTAGCTGATTATTTATATGTATAAAACACCACATGTAAAATATCATATTATCATATATATGGTGTTATGGTATTTATATTTTTATTTAGTTTTTATTCTTATATTTTCAATTTTAACTTTATATTACGTTCTAGTAAATTTGTTTTGTATTTTTGTCAGTTTATTAGTTTATGTCTATTTAGATTTTAATATTTATTATTTTAATTTTGGTTTAGATATTTCTACTTTTTGTCATTTTAATACTTCAGCTTAAAATAAATGAAAATGAGAAATATTTACTGCAAGAATTTTTTTTTTTTAAATTGAGTTGATTTCAGTCGATGTATTTTTTTATAGTAGTTTTTGTTTAATAATAATGAACCTGCTCAGTGTGACTATAAAGCATTAAGTTATTAGTACAGCACATGCTGTTGTTTTTCTGAAGGTGGCAGATATGTGGGAATCTCTGCTGGTTGGTGATAACACAGCGCTCAATGGGATTCGTCTTCACTGCATCAACCCGTCTAAAAGCTCATCGGGCCCGTACGAGGACTACGCCACAGTTCAGTCCGATGTAGGAAGGTGAAGAGCTTGAACTGGACGTAATACAGAGGCTCTGTTCCAAAACCTAGTGAGCTGCCTATATAGAGAGCATCTTATGAAGGATTTGCTGCCTACACTCTAAAAAATGCTGGGTTGTTTCAACCCAACTTTGGGTCAAATATGGACTAACCCAACCGTTGGGTTAAATTTTTACATTAAATTTTTAACCCAAAAGTTGGGTTAGTCCATATTTGACCCAAAGTTGGGTTGAAACAACCCAGCATTTTTTAGAGTGTATGTAGACAATAGAATGCAGAATTCTATGTTTGGGAACAGAGCTGCTATCATCAGAGTTTTTAGCTATTCAAGCTGGATTTTTTATTTAACTAACAAATAACTGGTTATACCACCAACGTGTTCCTTATCACGTTCTTTCCTCAGCTGGGGAAAATGGTCAGATATCAAATGGTGCTCGAGTGGATTTCTGACATCTTTTCAGCTGAGAGTGGAACCCTACAAAGGGATCATGGACGACACGGCCGCAAACAACATCAGGTGATGAACTTGTGACAACCGGTTTTCCTAAAGCAGCAGGATTGCTGAATGTCGTTTTCACAGCGTCCCATAACAAGCTGTACAAACACGCCACTGCATGAGGCTCATCTGACATGGATATGAAGTGACCAGGTCAAGCGTCCAGAGTTATTTAACGCCAAGAGCTGGACAGTTGGACTCATAGGCTAGTTCTGGTTGTGATCATTGTATTGTCCCATCTGAATTTCTAGGTTTAACTGCAGTGGAAATGCGGAAATGCTGCAGGGATCTGGGATGTCGTGGGGCGAATGGGGCGACTGGAGCGAGACGTGTGGAGGAAAAGGAATCTGTGGCATCGAGACGATGGTGGAGCAGCCGAAGGGAGTCGGAGACGACACGGCCCTCAACGACATGCGCATGTACTGCTGTGATTGAACTGATTGGTTGTTTCAGAAACAAATCATATGGTGGAATTTTTTTAATACATCATAAGTAAATATATCTTCACTATTGTAGCATATTAACTAAGTTTTCTATTTTAAGTTGGGAACATTTGATTCAATTTGCTGATTTAGTACTTATTTTTAAGATCTTAAATGCACTGTAAAAAATGACCGTGAATTTAACGGTAAAAGACTGTAAAAATGCTACAGTAAAAACCTGTTAAAAGGTTAACGGTAAATTCCCCTACTATATACGGTGACTGTGTTGGACATTACATGTATTGGACATTAATTTTATGGTAGTATACCATTTTTGGAAGTGAAAAAGACTATAATTTACAGTGAATAACCGTAAATTGACATTCCCAGAATTCCCTGCGTTACATTTCAAATTTGATGTTTTTTTGTTGAAATAACTATGTTTCTTCTTAGTTTTTTCTTATCCGTTTTGTATATTAGGGTTGTGTGTTACTTCAATATGTTGGTATATTAACATTATATCAGTTAATGAAAATATGGTATTTCACTGTAAATTTAAGTTAAAACCGTAAAACCTAAAACGTTGCTACCGTATTTTTTACAATTTTTAAATTTTACAGAATTTTTTTTACAGTGTGGTTTTGCTCCACCTGTTTTTAAGGATTACATTGATCAGATAACAGGACGGTATACTCGTGCCGGTATTAGAGGTGATTGTAATGTGCCATTAAGAAAAACTACCTTTGGTCAATTATCTTTGCTTTTAGAGGAACACATGAGTGGAATAGACTCCCAGTAGAGCTGAAAGAATTAAAACAATTAACAGGACACTGTGGTTTCTCGAAAAAGCTGAAAATATGGTTATTGGCCCATCAAAATTGTGATCATTTATAGTGGTTTATGGATATGGTATGGTAGTCTGTAATTTTGTGTTTCCATATAAGTCCTTGTTTTTAATTTGGTGTATTAATATTCTGTTTATATTTTCTTCCTGTCCTTAACATCAACCTGCCAAAAGGGACTGCGGATGAAAATTAGCCAGTGTTGGCTAAATCTGGCGCATTTTACATATTTATGTACTATTAATGGGCATTGTCCCTGATTAAATAAATAAATAAAAAAATGAAATGAAAGTGGCGCTTGACTAGTTTTGGGCAGAATTAATTGAGCAGATCTAAGAGAGATTTTTTTTCTTTTCATATTTAATGGACAACGAAAATAACAATGCCATCTAAAATTAAAAGATCTTGAACAAACCATGTTTTCCTCGGGTATATGTTATAAGACAAGTTTCATAGTTGTCAATTTCTATTAAGTTACTTCATGTGCATGATTCTGTGAATGGATATCATTAAAAAGGTGAATGATGACTGTCTCTTCATGGGTCAATTCTTACCTGGGTTAACTTAGAGAGATCAAAATAAATCACTCAAAATAAGTAAATAAATAAAATAAAAATAGTTTTTTAACAAATTTTTACTCACCCCGATATCGTAGGTTTTTAAATAGGCCTAATGCTTTGGTCAGAATTAATTGGGCAGATCTAAGAGTTTTTTTTTTTTATAAAATAATATTTTCCATTCATGTGTTATGGAAAACAAAGAGAACAGCAACAACATCTACTATTAAAAGATCCTGAACTTACTGAAAAATGTACTTGTGTTTTCCTCGTTTGTTAATAGAAGAGTTTTGTGACTAGTTGTCAATCAAGGAAATGCATTTCTATGAAGTTGTTTTAAGTGATTCTGTGAATAGATATCATTAAAAAGATGAATGTTTAAGTATTTATTGAGTGTCTCTTCATGGGTCAGTTCGTAGGAATTTTCTTCAGTATAACTGAAGCCTATAAAATCCATTCATTTTTTACTCACGTTGCTGCTGTTCTAAAGCTGTATGACCTTTTCTTTTTCCGAACACTTAAAGATGTGTTTGCTCGTCTTGATCACATAATGGCAGTGAACTTTAAAGAAAGGATGCAAACGTCTTATAAAATACTCGTTTGCGACTCCTGCCCTAAGGCATTGGTTCTCTGAGGTAAACACGTCCGTTACAGCTGTCTCCTGTCAGAATGACAGTTTACAGATTTGACCGCGAGAACTGATTTCAAAAATTTGGCGCGAATTTGGCTCGGCGCGAACGGCCGCTCTCATGAACTCAAACAGAAGCGCAACGGTCGAAATCAAGTTTTTCGCTAAATAATAAATGACATTTCGGTTTGTTTTTACCAGCTAGTAAAGCTTGAAAAGATGGCCACACTTCACTGCCATTAGAACAAACTCGATTAAGACGTTTTTAATTTCTCTCGTGTTCAGAAAACGAAAGGTCATACAGCTATAGAACAACACCATGGTAAGTAATTACTGATGTATGTGTGTGTGTGTGTTTTATCCCTTTCAATTACCAATAATCAAACTACTTTTCCCTCAGATTGTAAAACTGAACCATGAATGCACTTACAATGGAAAATGTTAACACTTGAGAGTTGAAACTGATAGAATTACTAACCAATCCTGTTTAATCAAATCTCTAATCATGACTAGATAATAAAAAAAAAAAACAGTAAACCTGGTTTAATATCTACACATGGATACCATGATATAGGACATTACATAACTATCTGTAACTGCTTACATGAGTAAATAACACACATTTATACTGAATCATTCATCTAAGTGGTTATTTTTGCTTTAAAACCATTTTAAGAGACTTGTAATTCTATTGCTGTGAATATATTTCAAATTCATTTGTTTGTCGTTGTATTTGTAATTAAATCACAAAAGCACACTTTAAATGAAGCACAGGATTTTGTTTGATCATGTTTTTTAATGCACAACAGGATGCAAAAAAAAATTATAATTTGTTTAAACATCATTCAAATGCTTTATTACTTGGTTAAGTTGCATTTTATGGTTCCATAAGTAAGAAATAAACACCATCTTAGAAGGACAGAAACATTAATGTGAAGCTAATGCCCTTCCTCACTGACCTGACTGAACAATTGTTCATTTGTTCTTTTCTCAAGTAACATTTCTCCACATATTCTCAGACATCACTAACTCGCAAAGAAACATAAATGCTTTATGAAAAATATAATACGTCATCACTCTCTGGATCTATATGGTCTGTTATATCATTCAGTGAAAATGTAGATTTGTGGTCTTTAAATCAGTAACATTGTTTTGATATTCTAATGGTCACCTATCAGGGATGATTGGTTCATAAGACATCACGTGATTTAAACGTTAGCAGAGATTCTGCTTCAGTCATCATCATCCTCACTGGCTCTAAATGCACGTTTCAGATCCGCTGTACTTGCTTTGTGAGCTCAGGGTTTCTGAGCGAGCAGCGTGCTGAGTTTGATCTTGCCGTCCATAGACGCGGTGAGGCAGGTGCCGCAGTCCATCGCTGAGCACCAATCAACCGTCACGACGGGCGCTTTATGACCGCCAAGAGACAAGACGCTTTCCAGACCCGCGTCCGCCTTATTCAACTAGAAAAGAGAAGAGCAGATATTAGGCTAGGTCCATAACATTAAAACTAAATCCACGAATAAACATTCCTGATACTTGAGCTAAAATAAATAAATAAAATATATTTAAAAAAAACAACATTTTATTTCAGCTATAGTTGCCAAGGCAGCATTTCTCATTTTTGTTTAGTTTAAGCTTAAGTACTCAAATAACTAAAATTAAAATAATAATTTGAAATAATACTTAATAAAAACTATACATATTAAAAACTAATAAAATGAGAACAACACAAAAACATAAAACTAAATAATTAAAATAAATAACTGAAATAAAATAAAATATAAAAAATTTAACTTTTTTATTATTGCAACTTATTTTATTTCAGCTAGTTGCGAAAGTAGCATTTCTCACTTTTTGTTTAGTTTAAGTCGAAAAATAAATTCGAAAATTAAATAAATTCGAAAATTAAAACTGTAATAAATTTTTTTTTTTAAATATAGAAACATTTAAAGAAACTAATCAAAATGAGAAAATCAATAAAATTACTAAAACTAAAAAAATACATTTTAACTGTTAATAACTGTTGAATAAAGCAAATGTAAACTGGAATAAAATATAAAAAACTTAAACTAAACAAAAATGAAAAATGCTGCCCTTACAACTAGCTGAAATAAAATAAGTTGAAGTATTAAAATAACTAAAACTAAATAAAATCTGTATAGACACATTAAAAAAATAATAAAAATTATACAAAAAATACTAAAACTTTAAAATTAAAATGTAAAAGGGAAGACAAAAATAAAAACTAGTTCAAAATATTAATAAAAACTATATAAGTATACCAATGACAGTAAAATAACACTCGTTCATAATGACAGAAACAGCAACATACTAGCGATGAAACCAAAAAACAAACAAACAAAAAAAACAACCAATTCCTCAATGAACTAGACTCACCTGACAGGTGTGAGTGTATGTTAAATGTGTTTTTTTACCCGGTAGATATTTCCTCCATTGCTGGAGCAGGTGAGAACATGTTGGCCCTCAGAGTCGAAAGCGAAGAGTCGACCGCGTGGAACCTGAACCTGTTTATAGCCGCTGTAACCCGACAGGACAAACGGCCCCACGGCATCCTGGGATAGCGAGTACTCCGACTGTTTCACGCCACAGCGGTGGATATTCCACTGCACAAACTGACAACAAACACAATATTACTAATTACTTAACACATAACTTAAAAGATATTGAACTGATACAGGGAACTGAATCAAACTTCTCAACTAGAACACCATTTTTGCTGCTGAAGTTTAAATCAGAGACGCTATTAAAACACGAGTGGCGTAGAAAGCAATACAGCATAGAGATTCGCATCACCTTCCCGTCCTCGCCGATGCTGAAGACGGTATTCTCATCGTAGCTGAACTCCACGCTGTACACTTCACCATCATGAGCCTTCCAGCTCAACGCGCTCTCATAGCGCTGCATGTCTGCAGAGAAACACAGCAGAAACAAACACTTCAACATCAAAATTAAATGCGAGCAACATGGGGTTTAAAAGATTATTAATATTCAGTAATGTTATCGATTTAACTGCACTGACACTACTGGATGAGAACAAAATTGAACTAAATAATGACACTATTGTCTTATGTAGAGCTTGACACTGTTAGTGAACTGAACTGAATCAACACTGAACTAAACTGAGCTGGAAAATGGATCTATTGTCTTCCGTAGAGCTGCTTTAGCTGAAATGTTATTAATTGAATCAATATTTAACTAAATTGAGCTGAATAATTAAATTATTGTCACCTGTAGAGCCGCTTTACAGCTGAAATTGAATTTGTTTCATAATTGATGAACTCTGGAACATCGACACTGTTATTGAACTGAACTGAATTAATGCTGAACTAAATTGAATCAGCATTGAACTAAATTGAATCAACAGTGCACTAAATTGATATGAATGATGACATTATTTTCTTTTGTAAAGCTACTTTAGAACTGAATCGAACTTATTTTATAAATGATTAACTTTGCAGCATTGACACTGATATTGAACTGAACTGAATCAACATTGAACTGAATTGATTTAAATAATGACACTATTTTCTTTTGTAAAGCTACTTTGGTACTGAATCGAACTTATTTTATAAATGAACTTTGCAAAATTGACACTGATATTGAACTGAACTGAATCAACATTGAACTGAATTGATTTAAATAATGACACTATTTTCTTTTGTAAAGCTACTTTGGTACTGAATTGAACTTATTTTATAAATGAACTTTGCAACATTGACACTGATATTGAACTGAACTGAACTGAATCAATGCTGAACTAAATTGAATCAGCACTGAACTAAATTGAATCAGCACTGCACTAAATTGATCTGAATAATGACAACATTTTCTTTTGTATGGCTCCTTTAGAACTGAATTGAACTTATTTTATAAATGATGAACTTTGCAACATTGACAGTGACATTGAACTGAACTGAATCAACATTGAACTGAATTGATCTGAATAATGACACTATTTTCTTTTGTAAAGCTACTTTGGTACTGAATCGAACTTATTTTATAAATGTACTTTGCAACATTGACACTGATATTGAACTGAACTGAATCACTGAACTGAATCAACATTGAACTGAATTGATCTGAATAATGACACTATTGTCTTCTGTAGAGCTTAACAGCTGAAATTTGGTTTATAATTGATGAAATTTAAAATAGTAACACTGCTTAGTTTTGTATAAAGCGCTAAAGGAATACATGCGACTAAATCTGAATCTCAGCTGAACCGTCACCATGATAACTTTCTTACCGAACAGTCGTATCATCCCGTCTGCGGCTCCGGTCACCAGCAGGTTTCCGTTGTGGTTAAACGCCGTGCAGTTTATGGCAACCGGACCCGGCTCCAGCGCAAACTGTAGCTGAATGCAACAAGACAAACATCATTACAGTGAGTTTTCAGTCAATACATTTCTGTATGGGTGCCGTTTGGCTTCAGTACCTGCTGTTTGACGGTCTTGGTGTCCCACAGCAGCAGCTGTCCGGATACAGGAGCCGAAACTCGTGCTTCGCCCTCCATCACAACACCAGATTGAGCAGCCGGAGCCGCGGCAGAGCAGACGAACGACGTTCCGCTCGGACTGCAGGCTAGCGACAGGATCCTGAACACATGCAGGAAGCTCAGAATGGAATAGGAATCTTCTGCATATATACTGTATACCGTCTACTATTTAAAAAAAAAAAAAGTGAAACAGTATGCAACAATAACTTGTAATAAGATGTATGTAAAAATTGTTTATGCATGTTTTTTTAGATGAAAATCCTGGTGCATTATGGGTAATTTGTGAGGACTCACCGTGGATGGATGTCGTCTATGGTCATCTCATACAGGCTCTTCTTAGCATCCGTGTCGTAAAGCTTTACCGTGCCGACGCCACTGCCGAGCAACAGCTATAAGACGAAAATCACCACACAAACCAATAAAACCACCAAATACTAATTAGTTATGAAAATACACAACTGTTTAAAATGGTTATTATTTGAAAAAATAATACTTTTATTCGGCAAGGATATATTAAATTGATCCAAAGTGACAGTAAAGAATTTATAATGTTGCAAAAGATTTCGATTTCAAATAAATGCTGTTCTTTTGAACTTTCTATGCATCTGTGAATCCTGAAATATAAAATGTATCACGGTTTCCACACAAATACTGGGCAACACAACTGTTTTCAACATTAATAATAATAATCAAATGTTTCTTGAGAAGCAAATCAGCATATTAGAATGATTTCTGAAGGTCATGTGACACTGAAGACTGGAGTAATGATGCTGAAAATACAGCTTTGATCACAGAAATAAATTACTGTTTAACATAGATTCAAGTCAGGGTTATTATAATTAACTAAAATTAAAAAAATTAAAAATTTAGCACTTGCAATAAAATAAAACAACAAACAAATTAGGCTAAAATGAATGACTAAAAATCAATACAAACTATAGAGATATTTAAAAACAAAACCTAATAATAAAAATGACAAAGTTGAACTAAAAATAAAGTATAAGCAGAAAATAAAAAAATTAATTCAAAATATTAAAGGGGTCATATGATGCTGCTAAAAAGAACTTCGCTTTCACAACGAAGCACACAGCGTCTTCACGACATGGCTGCAGCGTCAACAATACTACAGCGAGAATAAAAGTTACGCCTTCTTTCTTTGCGTGAACATTTGGGCGGTGTTATGCAAATCTTCCCACATAGTGTGGTAGATATGTGGGGGCGTGTTCGAACGAGCCGTTTTAGGGGGGTGTGGCTGACTCTTAACTTTTATAAAGAATATCTCTTTGGATTTGAGACTTTAGTCTTTGCAAATTTACAGAACTTCTTTATGCACCAAGAGCTTGTAACACTCCAAAGAGAAAGGAAAAAATGAAATCGCATCATATGACCCCTTTAACAAAAACTGAGTATCTCAAAGGTACTAAAATAACACTGATTCAAATAGAAAACCGCTGTTTTAGACTTTAATAATATTTCACACTATTACTGTTTTTACTGTATTTTTGATCAAATAAATGCAGCCTTGGTGAGCAGAAGAGACTTCTGTATGTAAAAAAATCTTTGCATACATAAAACATTTTTAAAAATTATCAACCCCAAACTTTTTACTAGTGTTTGATTGTTTTTTGCATTTTTACATTTCACAGCTTAAATATACAAACATGCTAAATTGCACCCCTGAAAATGCAAACGCTGATAATGTATGTGCCGTCTGAAGCTAAATCTTTTTATCTGTGTTTATTGGTGAACAGTGCCGTTATTTACCAGTCTGTCGGGTTTGGCTGCCCATTCCAGAGAGAGCAGCGGGGACTTGGACATGATAGTGGCTTTGGTTTGCATGATGGGATTGAAGGCCCAAACCTTCACCACCCCGTCCACATCCAGACTGGCCACTCTCCTGCCCGAGCAGTCCACCCTAAAAACACAATGATATGATGAACACAAATGTGACCCTGGAGCACAAAAGCAGTGTTAAGTCGCTGGGGTATATTTGTAGCAATAGCCAAAAATACATTGTATGGGTCAAAATTATAAATTTTTCTTTTATGCCAAAAATCATTAGGATATTAAGTAAAGATCATGTTCCATGAAGATATTTTGTACATTTCCTACCGTAAATATATCAAAGCTTAATTTTTGATTAGTAATATGCATTGCTAAGAACTTCATTTGGACAACTTTAAAGATGATTTTCTCAATATTTAGATTTTTTTGCACCCTCAGATTCCAGATTTTCAAATAGTTGTATCTCGGCCAAATATTGTCCTATCCTAACAAACCATACATCAATGGAAAGCGTATTTATTTAGCTTTCAGATGATGTATAAATCTCAATTTCGAAAAATTGACCCTTATGACTGATTTTGTGGTCCAGGGTCACATATGATGAAACTACGATGACCAACACCACACCACATCACATCAGAGCTCATTTACATACAGCATCCAACAGCCCGTGTAATTATAAGAGTCAGAGGAGAACAATGCTTAAGAAAAACTAAATTATGATTGTTTTTGCTGCAGGAACAGCAATATTTAATGTCCACACCTGCAGTGCATGATGGATGAGTGATGCTCTATATACTCCTCCTGACTCAGTTTAATGAAGGGCTGCTCCACTGAAGCTCCGCCCACATCACAGACTCGCGTCTGATTGGTGGAGTCTGTTTGATCAGGAAGAGCTTCGGTTTGAGTTTCTGGATCCGAATCGTTTTTCTTCTCTGAACTCTGTGAAGATCACAAACACAATAATGCATAGAAACGTTCTAGACAGACCTATCACGATGAAGTCAGTGGGATTTCAACGCGTTTAATATCCAAACTGAAATAATAGCAGTAACCTCCCACTCCCATGATGCACTGCAAATGACACAAAGTTCTTCCTACACTCCCAAACCCACTTATATATATTTGTATATATCTGAATATTTTATAATAATTTTGTTGGTAATACTTTACAATAAGTTTCCATTTGTTGACATTAGTTTACTAACAACAAAAATACTTCTGAAGCGTTTATTAATCTTAGTTAATGTTAAATTGAACATTTACTAATATATTATTATTATTATTACTAATATATTATTAAAATCAAAAGCTGTATCTGTTAATATTATTTAATGGACCTGAGCTGACATGAAATAACAATAAGCAGTTGTATTTTTATTAACATTAACAAAAATGAGTACATTAAAACATTTTCGTTAAGACAAGTTTTGTATTACAAGTGTTCTGAAATGTTATGTTTAAATATGCAAATGAGGCATTATCTAATTAAATATGCACTAATTTGCACAATGAGGCCAATATGGTAATCACATTCAGAGGACTTTTTATTTAGGTCAATTATTGTTAAAAAAGACTATATTTCAACCCAGTGTAAATAATGTTATTTCCAGAAAATAAATCAGATTATTAGATAAAGCCATGTTCAAAGTATTTGTTTGATTTTGTTGATGTATTAGAGTTAAAGGTTTTTATAGAAGGGATTTTTGATTTCTCTTTTTATCACTCCATAAATGAGAAAATACTGTCAACAGACAGAAAAAATACATTTTCGCCACGTTTTTAGGAATAAAATGTTGTAAATATAAAAAATGATGTGAATGATGTATGAACAAACCCTTCAGTAAAATCCTTCAGAATATAGAGAGGAATAAAACTGTAAGTTTTGATGCATGTAAGTGCTGCTGAAGTGGAGAAACAAACCCACAGCCTTTAAATATATGCATTTTCACCATTTTTTTAAGAATAAAATGTTGTATACATCAGTGTGAATGATATATGAACAAATCCCTCAGTAAAATCCTTCAGAATATAGAGAGGAATAAAACTGTAAGTTTTGGTGTATGTAAGTGGTGCTGAAGTGGAGAAAAAACTTTTAAAGACATGCATTGGAATTGAAATCTACCCAGGTGAAAAAAAGTACACTTCCATAATGTACTTAAAGTGCTCTATTTTCGCGCACTTAATATACAAAAAATTCTTCTTTAGTACTTCTTAAGATAATCTTAAGAACATCTAGGTGTACTCAACTGTGCTATTTTGAAATACCATGTATATGAACTAAAATGTGCTAAACAAATGTATTTAGGTACTTTGTATACAAAGATGGGTTCAAATTTACTACAAGTGGTAACTAAATACATTTGTTTAATACAGAGACAGTATGTTAAAAGCACATTTTAGTTCATATACATGGTGTCTCAAAATAGCACAGTTGAGTACACTTAGATGTTCTTAAGATTATCTTAAGAAGTACTGAAGACGAATTATTAATATATGGAGTACAAAATTAGTGCACTTTAAGTACATTATGGAAGTGTACTTTTTTTCCACCAGGGTACAGACACAGACACAATAAAATAAACACTTAAATGTGTATTTTGGATGTTTTCTTTCCACTAGTCTGAAAGAAGACATGTTATGGAAGCAAAACCTCAAAATTTAGCAGTGCATGAAAAACAAACGTGGTTTTGCCTTAAACCTGGATTTCTTTGTGGGATTAGTACTTCATTCTCTCATAAAATATCTCTAAAACACAGTCTTGTATCTTGAGTTTCAAAGAGTTTTTTTTTGTTTCAGATTAATGTTTATGTCATTTTGGGTTGTTGGTTTGGGTTATGGATCAGAATTTTTGAAATCCCTATGAAGAAAATGAATAGGAAATGTACTTCCCAAACAAAAACCAATGGATAAGTGTGTGGCTGCTGTTGCGCCAGTGTCATGTGAGGAGCAAAATGCAGAAACGCAGTGAACATGCTGGAAGAGAGTGAGAGAGACAGAGAGGCCTTTGTTCGGCGCTGTTGGATAATTTCTCGGACCTGCGGTGGGAGTTTGGAGAGCAGCTCTTTTCTCTCTTTCTCGTGGTCATGGTGCCGTCTCTGTCGGGAATGACCTGTCGCCAAATCCACCGTCGCCGTGGAAACAGTGGGCATCTTCAAGTCTTTTGCAGAAGGTGGATCTTTTGCCTTCGCAGACTGAAAAAAAAAAAAATCACAGGCAGAAAAACCATTAGATTAGCAGAAAGACACAGAAAAACAGGGTTTAAATTTAGTTTGCTAGATCAGGGGTTTTCCACAAGGAAGTGCTAGGGGTCTGTGGAAATGCTACAAGAAAAGCAATGCAAAAAAAAAAAGTAAATAATAAAAAAAGATGACAATAAAATAAAAACTTGATTAAAATAAATAAAAATACGAAAAACGCATTGTACAATAATGAGTAGAAAAAAAGATATTAAAATAAATGCGATTAAAAACAAATTTGATTAAATAAAAATTCGATTAAAATAAGTAAATAAATAATGCATCTAAGTACAGTACAATATTGAGTAGAAAAAACAATCATGTTAATTAAAATAAAATTAATTAATTAAATTAAAACTAATAAATCATAAAATATCTCTAAAACACAGTCTTGTATCTTGAGTTTCAAAGAGTTTTTTTTTGTTTCAGATTAATGTTTATGTCATTTTGGGTTGTTGGTTTGGGTTATGGATCAGAATTTTTGAAATCCCTATGAAGAAAATGAATAGGAAATGTACTTCCCAAACAAAAACCAATGGATAAGTGTGTGGCTGCTGTTGCGCCAGTGTCATGTGAGGAGCAAAATGCAGAAACGCAGTGAACATGCTGGAAGAGAGTGAGAGAGACAGAGAGGCCTTTGTTCGGCGCTGTTGGATAATTTCTCGGACCTGCGGTGGGAGTTTGGAGAGCAGCTCTTTTCTCTCTTTCTCGTGGTCATGGTGCCGTCTCTGTCGGGAATGACCTGTCGCCAAATCCACCGTCGCCGTGGAAACAGTGGGCATCTTCAAGTCTTTTGCAGAAGGTGGATCTTTTGCCTTCGCAGACTGAAAAAAAAAAAAATCACAGGCAGAAAAACCATTAGATTAGCAGAAAGACACAGAAAAACAGGGTTTAAATTTAGTTTGCTAGATCAGGGGTTTTCCACAAGGAAGTGCTAGGGGTCTGTGGAAATGCTTCAAGAAAAGCAATGCAAAAAAAATAAGTAAATAATAAAAAAAGATGACAATAAAATAAAAACTTGATTAAAATAAATAAAAATACGAAAAACGCATTGTACAATAATGAGTAGAAAGAAAGATATTAAAATAAATGCGATTAAAAACAAATTTGATTAAATAAAAATTCGATTAAAATAAGTAAATAAATAATGCATCTAAGTACAGTACAATATTGAGTAGAAAAAAAACAATCATGTTAATTAAAATAAAATAAATAAATTAAATTAAAACTAATAAATAACATGAAAAACAGTACAGTACAATGACTAGAAAAACAATAACGTAACTTAATAAATACATAATAAAAATCAAAGTAAATACAATTAAATAAAAAGCAGATTAAAATAAGTAAATAAATCAATAATACACTGACAATACAGTATAAGAATGAGTACCAAAAACAATAATGTAACTTTAAAAATATTAAATAAGTAAATAATACAATTAAATTAAAATAAATAATTAAAACATCTAATAGTAAAGTATTTTAATGAGTACAAATTAATATCCTAATGATTTTTGGCATAAAAGAAAAATTTATAATTTTGACCCATACAATGTATTTTTGGCTATTGCTACAAATATACCCCAGCGACTTAAGACTGCTTTTGTGCTCCAGGTTCACATATTATCTGAATGATGTTAAAATAAGACTGATGTACCTGTGCTGTGGCGGCGGGATCCTTCCGGCCCAGCGAGGCCTGTGTGGGTGAGGATTGGGGCCCCGGGGCCGTTTTCCCGGGGACCCATCGGCCCTGAGGGAGGAAGGTGGAGAAGAAGTTTCTGGACGGCGTGGTCATGTTGACATTCCTCTGACTGGACACGAGATCTCTGAGAGAAAACAGACGAAACATTGCTCACGTTTCTGAAAACACACACACACACGCACACACACAGACTCACACTCACACTCACACACACACACACACACACAC